CTACTTGTTGTTAGGGAGACTCCTATATATGTCGACCTTCATCCTCCATAGCCAGGCAGACCTGCAAATAAAAAAAATGCTCAACTTTTCTTTACATCCGAGAGGGCACTCTCAGCAGAGTCTCTCAAAATACTCAGTTTCTTTTCCTCCCGATAATACCTCTACAAATAAGCCACACCAGAGCAAGAGTATCTCATATCATCAGGGTTAAAAGAAAAAGTATCCCATATCATGCTTTTTCCCTGTCTTTTCCTTTGGCCTTGTTCTTACCTGCAAGACAAGGAGAAAGAGAGCAATCAGTCAGCATTTGGAATCAAGCTTCCAGTCAGGAACTGATTGCCTGGAACCCATTGCCTGATTACTTACCTGGCAGTGCTCTCGAGTACTCATCTTCAACATCTTATGCTTCTAGAGAAGATACCACATCGGCTTGAGGAACAGATAGGGCAAGTGAGAATGATACAAGGAAGCATGTGGAGACAAGCGTAACAGAACACGTGCTGATACATCCACTACTTTGTCAACAGCAAAAGTATCCCATATCATCAGGGTCGAACGTACTTTAGATTTGATGGACTTGTTTTGACCCTCAAATTATTGAGTCGGCCTTATACTCTGGAGGAAACTAGAAAACCTTTCAGCCCAGTTCAAGAATAAGCCTGTGGAAAGTTATTTCTTCAAAAGCAAAAGTATCTCATATCATCTTTTCTCCATTTGCTTCTCCTTATCCTTGTTGCTGTTTACGACACAAAGAGAAGGAGAATAATCAACCGGACACCGAAGTCGAACCTTCGATCCAGGTTGCTTGCTTGGAAGTCTGATTGCTTGCCTTGTCTGTTACCTCATTCGGCAAATCTCCTAGCTCGACGACTTGGGGGACTCCTACTATAGGGTTTGTATCGTACTTGACCAAGCCCGAAACTACAAGTAAGCTTCAAATGAAATTGATACATTACCTTGTGCATCTTCATCGGTTAAAGATACCACCCCTAGATGGAGGAAAAGTACTTCAAGAGAAGATGCCACATCTACATATGAGACAGATAAGGCAAGTGAAAATGATACCACACTTCGGTACTTAGAAGTTTCGTGATTACTTAAGGCTTGGATCTTGCAAGTCCCCAACTGAAGAGCTTCCCTCACTCGGGAACTTAGGGGAGCACTGTTTGTATCATACTTGACCAATCCTAAAACTACTGAGCACCGGTCAACGTTATATCGTTAAGGACCCATAAGAGTTTCCCTCCAACCAGGAGACCAATCACAGCGCGACACATGTTGATATCAGAAGCCAATCATAGCGCGACACGTGTCAACATCAGAAGCCAATCACAATACGACACGTATCAATGTCAGAATGAAACTAGAAACTCTCTTCTATAAATAGAGATCATTCTCTCACAATATTTTGGAATGTCATTTGTACTAAATCATTCACTAGTACTCACTAAAGGAGAGCTTGAACCTATGTACTTATGTAAACCCTTCACAATTAATGAGAACTCTTCTACTCCGTGGACGTAGCCAATCTGGATGAACCACGTACATCTTGTGTTTGCTTCCCTGTCCCTATCCATTTACATACTTATTCACACTAGTGACCGGAGCAATCTAGCGAATGTTACAAACTTAACACTTTCTGTTGTACCAAAGTCCCCAAATTATACATGGGCATTACTCATGTCATTCATACATAAACATTTATGAGCATTACTCATGACAATCATACATAAACATTCATGACCATCATTCATGTCAACATTCATGAGCATTACTCATGTTAACATTCATGAGCATCACTCATGACAACATCCATGAGCATCACTCATGTCAATCAACATAAACATTCATAAGCATCACTTATGTCAATCAGCTTCAAAAGCTTCATTTACAGAGCTCTATCTTCAAAAGCTCCATTAAAAAATCTCCAGCTTCGAAAGCTTCATTTACAGAGCTCTAGCTTCAAAGCTTCACTTGCAAAGCTTCACCTACAAAGCTTCAGTGCAGGGTATACAAATACCGCATCCGAACAACCGCCATTTCGGCCCATACATGGATTCAATTTGAAGTCTCCAGCCAACAAACTCTATTGATCGAAGACTTAGGAGACGACATTATGTACCATATATTGGGCCTCAACTGGGCCTCATGAAAAATACTTGAGGGACTTAGCTCATTATTTATGTATTAAGGAGCGAGCCCTTATTCTATAAAAAGGACTCCCTCACTTTCATTAGAGAGCACTCATTATTTATGTACTGAAGAGCGAGCCCTTATTTTATAAAAGAGACTCCCTCACCTTCATTAGAGAGCAACGCCGCCAGTTGAGCAATCGCCTCACCGCGAGCATCACTCCTAGCCCATCACTTATGTATTGAGGAACGAGCCCTTATTTTATAAAAGGGACCCCCTCACCTTCATTAGAGAGCAACGCCGCCAGCTGAGCAATCGCCTCGCCGCGAGCATCACTCCTAGCCCATCACTTATGTATTGAGGAGCGAGCCCTTATTCTATAAAAGGGACTCCCTTACCTTCATTAGAGAGCAACGCCGCCAGCTGAGCAACCGCATCGCCGTAAGCATCACTCCTAACCCATCACTTATGTATTGAGGAGCGAGCCCTTATTTTATAAAAGAGACTCTCTCACCACCATTAGAGAGCATCGCTGCGTATTGAGCAACCGCCTCGCCGCGAGTATCAACTCCAGCCCATCATTTATGTATTGAGGAACGAGCCCTTATTCTATAAAAGGGACCCCCTCACCTTCAAGCGCCACAAGTCGAGCTAACCAAGGCAACATAAGCCACAAGCCGAGCAGCCTCGCAACATGTGCAACTCCTAGATGAGCATCATTTCGCTTTGAGCACCGCCTCATATCGAACATCAGTTCAAGACAACATCTAGTTACTTCAGCCCACACATGGACTGAATTTCAAGTCTCCAGCCAAAAGACTCTTGACTAAAGACTTGGGGGGCTACTGTTTATACCATATTTAGGGCCTCGTATTTAGATCTCATACAAATACTCGGGGGACTTAAATGTAATTATGTGATAAAAGAAGGGGCAAATATGTAATAAGTGAGGAGCCCTTATTCTATAAAATGACTCATCACCCTCACAATTAGGAGAGGCCAATTCCTAAGGCTCCTCACCCCCTCAAGCTCTCACTCTCAGAGCCTCTCAGATTCATTACAGAGACTCTTTCTCTCCCCCTCAGAAATACAATATTAGTGTGGACGTAGCCCAAACCTTGGGGTGAACCACAATACATTTTTTGTTATTTACATTTCTTGTAGATTCACGGTCGGATTTACGTTGTTCCAAGACCTCTGGTGTTGTGCATCAACAAATTACAACTTCATACTCATGAGTATTGATATGATTCAATGAATATTCACTCTGAAAGAAGTATGAAATTAATAGTATAATATACAGATAAGTATATAACATATACCTAGCTCAACCTGACTTATTTAAAATAAATCCAATCATACTTTATGTCATGTTTATGAATTTTTTTTTAGCATGTTCCATATGAAGCCTAAGTCTCCGAATGATAACAAATACAACTTATCAAATAACTATATCACTTATGAATTTGATAACGGAATATACAAATAAGTATATAACTTGTCGGCCCAACTCAACTTGACTAATTTAAAATTGGCCTAATCATACTTTCATGTTGTGCTCGTGCATGTTTTGGGCATTATGGAGTTCCAATGGATGACAAATACAACTCATTAGAGGTCATAAACAAGCATTTTTAGCGTCCCACTCTCTACTCTCAAGCAAAACCCCCCTCAAAGTAACACAGTTTTGTTCCTTGTAAGTTTTGTACATCACAGGAACAAAGAAAGGGTACAATAGATAACAACATGAGCACTCCTGTTAAAAAGAAACACGTCGATTCAATTAGAAGATGGGGTCATCAATGGGCCGTGCCAAACTAGCTCAGCTCGGTTTTTATGGGCCTGAGCCGGGCCGGGCTTAATCAATGTTAAGTGAAATTAGCAGGCCATATTGAGCCGGCCTACAATGAAATTCAAAACCCGGCCCTAGCCCGTCGAATAGGCTTTCGTGGGCCAGAAGCAAGAGAGTTGAAAAGTTCGAAACAACCCCTAATATATGAGTCCGGATCCTCGTCAGATTCTTTTTGTGAGGATCCCATGAATCTATGAATCGTGTACGTTCATTGTACATTGTGGGGTCATAAATCATTTTATTTAAAAATAAACATAAACAGTACTTGACAAAAACTGACCGCACGATGTACGATGAACGGATACAATACATGGATCCCCAGATGCTCACCAAAAGGATCCGGAGAGGATCCTATTGGCTAATATATGGCATGTGCAAGACTGCGTACTCTTTTATCTATATATCACCTATCTTCATTGTCAAAGAGTCGACGAAGATCTAATGCGTATGCAGTATATTCCATCTTCCTTAGTGGATGCCCGCAGCCAGAAGCAACTTGATTTTGTAGCTGCCCGGATCATGGGGTCATTACATTTAAGTTGAAACAAATCGGTCAAATTAATAACGTTTAGGTTTAGGGCTATACAAGTGTATATATATACAGAGTATGGACCTAGCTACTTATAACTTTCTGAAGTAAATTGAGGGCCACGTATTCTGGGTGGGTAAAAAGTTCGAACTAACCTTTTACATCTTGGTTGTCCATGCCATACGAACTCGCCAATTAATGCAATTTGTCACAACGCAACCGAGGTCTCATATTATTGACAAACTAATTAGGGCATACTAGCTACCTCTGTGAGATTGAATGGAAGAAACTTGGCTTAAATAGTAGGGTGATGTCCACCCTCTGAGGCCGCGTGCATGGCGGATGAGCTCCATGACAACAACCTTTGATTTTGACGGAAATAACTTACGACAAGAATGCTATCTTTTTTCTTCACATGATTTTCCGGATCATCCAAAAATACACAATGAGCATTCCGAATGTCCGACGATTTATTCAGAAAAATCTGCAGCAACTTGTCCCTCTTGCAGCTACAGCTTAGCCTATAAATTGGTAATCCTGCACGGCAATTCTTCAAGCCAGTTCATCATTTGCAACTTAGCAAGAATATATACTTCAATTGGTGCAGTTTGGAGCAATGGCTTTCAAAGCAACCCTCTTTGTGTTCCTCTTGGTTGCTGCAGTGGCGATAGTACTAGTTCCAATGGCAGAAGCTCAACTTGGGCTGATCAGCGGCCTCCTTGGTCTCATTCGCATACAAGGAACTCTATTCTGCACTCCCAACGGTAATGTGGGTACCGGTGGTGCTACCGCTACCCCAGTATTCTCAAGTAAGTACATTATTTAGCTCGCTCAAGTCCAATTAACCAATCATATTTAGATTTTCTAATGCTAAGCATACCATAATTTATACCACGTTTTTATTGATGTTGATTGAATACATCACACGTCACATCATATAGTACGAATGTGTTGTAAGATTAGCATTAATGGGTTTACTCTTATAAGTTTCATCACCACAATATGGTCTCTTTGCATGTCTGGATGGTTAATTATGTTTTTAGAATAAGAATCTCAGGATAGATCCTCACCATAATGTATGGGTGTATGGGGTAATATGTAGTATGACGAGAATATATAGTCTGATAAGAAAATATTTCTGATATCACCATACATAATTTGTTATGTTTATTTGTTGTAGATGCTACTGTTCAACTGTTGTGTGGAACTGCGGGGAATGTGATTTCAACTGTGACAACTAATGGTAGCGGAATCTTTTCAATCTTGTTGGACCCTCTCCAGTTTCTTCTCAATTCACTACTGTCGGATTGCAAGCTGCTGGTTAGGACACCGCTGTCCGCCTGCAACGCAAGTCTATCCGGGTTGACTGGCCTTCTCTCATCACCGTTGCAGTTTATCGGAAATACCATCGCTGGCCTCCTCAGCATCGTCAACATCATTCCAGTCGGCTTCAACCTCATAAATAATTAAGGGAATGATATGCACGGATATGGTCGTTGCATATGCAGCAGTGCTTCTTATATATAGATAAATCGATCGATAAGGTCAAAATAAGATGTAACGTTTGAATTGTACCCCCTTAGTTTGTCTTCCAAGTATTTGTTTTTGTTATGTATCCTGGTATGCTACTGCTTAGAAGTAGTATTCTGCCAAGTAATTAATAAAGGCCATGTCTTAATACTTGTTTTCGACGATGTACTGTCCACAGTATATGCATGGCACATGCAAAAGGAGCGGAAATTGTTGCTCTCCAGAGGAAGCAAATTTTCCAAATTCTACACGCACACAAAGACAAACATGTCTAGTTTACAAGACGGGTGTGTGCCAACTCATTCTTAATGTATTAGAGTAAGTTAACAATGTGATCAGTTTTGTGTATCCCAGTTGATGACCCTAAGCGACTTTCTCCGACATTATCCGTTCACTAGAGACACAGCCTGATGCGTACATTTTTCCTTGGCGTTTCAGGTTTTGTTAACATGAAAAAGAAAGGGAAAAAAAAAAGAAGAGAAAGGATTTGGAATCTTGGATCTTCTGTTTTAATATTTTTCTTAGGACTTATAGAAGATGTTACAAGAGTTTCATCTTATGAATAGGCCTAATGAAGTGAGAATCATGGGAATTGGACATGGTATGTCATTTAACTAAACGGTACTTCTAGATAGCTTCACAGTCCGTCTCCACTGGATCGCCAAGAGAATCAAACGCCACCGCCTGGACTTGGCTGGGTTGTGTTGAGTTGTGACCTTTTGTATTCAATTGATAATGGGGGTGGACAAAATCGAACTTGGGATCTCAAGTGTACACAAGCTTGTTAATGTGAAAGTGATTTAAATAACTAAAGCGTTTCTAGATCACTAATAATGCTTTAGATAATGTTTTTTTCAGAAAAAATTAATTAAAAGTGTTTTTTTTTTTTTTTAAATGTATAAGAAGCATATATACAACATGCTTTTTTTTCTTCAAGAAGCACTTCAACTACAATTTTAGGAAGTAGTTGAATTTCAATGTGGTTCTAAAATCGCTAATAAGCATAAGTGGTTCTTAAAAACCCTTTAGTGAAGGGGCTCTGCAGGTCCCTTAGGAGTGGTTTGGGAGTGAGGTGCTTAAAAAAAAAGCACCCATGAAAAAAAGCTGTGAGGGTTTTAGGTGTTTGGTAAACTGAAAAAAATGGCTTATTTTGGAAGCTACTGTGAGAATAAGCTGAAATCAAAGGAAAAAGCTGAAGCTGCTATTTGTAGCTTTGGAAAACTGGTTTTTTTTCAAAGCACACCGAGCTACAGTGCTCCTTTAATGAAAAGACCCACTATCAGACTGCTTTTATTTTTTTATTTTTTTTTCCAAAAGCACTTTTACAAAAAAGTTTACCAAACACTCTGCTGATTTATTTTACAGTCGCTATTCTCACAGTACAGCCGCTTATTCTCACAGCAGTTTTTTTTCAAAGCACAGCAATACCAAACCAGTCCTTAATGCTGAGCTGTGCCCCTGAATAGGACAAAGTTGGGCTCACCAGATTGGGTTAGACCCTCTTCCATATACAAAGCAGGTTAATCATGATCCAAGAAATTCAAGTTGGTAGGCCTTCTAATAAAAAAGGCCGTGGAACGAATTTATTGTTATCGTAACGTTTCTATTTATAAAGTTAGATATAAACTGTTAAATATAGTGTTGTAGTACAAGATCGATACACTGTATAGCGGTGAATCTTTTGTATGAAAATTGCTGTCCGTTTTCCTGTATCAAAATGCGACGACATTTTTCATGAAAAGGTGCGTCGGAACTTGGATACAACTACATTCACACATGGCCATCACCGATTCACCTTCGTATCCTTAGCATCAAAGATATGAAATTTGGGTTGGATCATATCCTAATCACACAATAAAAAATATGATTAAAAATTAAAAAAGGTAACAGGTCAGCACACACGTGTCGATGGCTGAACGATCCCATTGAGTCACTTTGATTTTACCCTCCCTATATAACGTAACAGAAACCCTAAACCTCCTCCTCCTCTTCGCCACCGCCACCAGAAAGAGAGCCGAAGAAGCGAACAAGGGAAAGGAAGTACTTTCTTTTCTCCTGTTCTCTGACTCGCTGCTCTCTCTCTCTCTCTCTCTAAAACTTCTTATCCAATGGCTGCTTCCTTGCTCTCCAAAACTAAGCCCCTCCTCCACGCGATCCAACGGTCAGTTTTGATCTTTACATTAACCATTTGTTTTTTTTGCATTAAGTTATTTAATTTTTTTAATTATGATGGAAATATTGATTTATTGTTGGTGGTGGAGCAGGCGGGGTTACGCTGCAGCATCACATGGTTCGGTGGCAGCTGGATTCGGTAGGGGAGGGTCCAGGAATGCTATGGTGGAGGAGCGGGTTGCGAAAGCGATGAAGGAGGAGTCTGGACTCGGAGCTCCTTCATCTGCGTGGGCCCCGGATCCGAGAACTGGATACTATAGGCCCGCCAATCGTGCGGACGAGATCGACCCGGTTGGGCTTCGAGAGATGCTGTTGAACCACAAAGCAAAGTGACTACTGACTAGTTACCTTAGAAGAAAGAGCCTTGCTATTTGAGAATTATGTTTAATTAATCCAGATTATGTAAGTTGTTTAGTGTTAAGCTCAGAGTGACAGTGGTGGTGGTGTTTTTATCCTATTAATAATCATAATAATCATGTTTTGTTATCGTAATCGCATATTCTAAGGAAAACTAATGAAAAGGGTTTGAAAACTTTGAGTTTTAATGATAAGGACAAAATAAAGGGTAAAGTGAATAGTACCAGGATTGATTTTTTAGTGTAAAAATGTGATTTTTCGTTAAAATGAACAGTACGGATGCTTTCCAAGTTCCCCATATTCTATTGGTAGTACTAGAATAAATGAACAAAAAAAAAATCGTGGAACTTTGTGTAGCTTTAGGAGCAACCATTAACAAAAGAATGAGAGAATTTTTGAGTGTATCAGTTTATGTTATGACATTTGGTGGGCCGTACTTTCAGTACTTTCAGTATACTGAAAAAATGTCTTGGAAAATAACTTTGCTCATAATAAGGGGTCACCTAGTTTAAACTAGATGCAATTCGATTATAATAAAGGGTGGATAAGCTTGCCATCAGTTGTTTTTTTTAAAAAAAAAAAAAAAGTTTTAACTTTGTAACTTAATTTTGTCACAAAGTAGAACTTTGGTCAAACCACAAAGGCCATAGTTTAGTCCAATTTAATTCTAGGAATTGCAACATTTAGTAACATATAGTTGTTAAACCTCAAAAATTAAACTTGTTTTCATGTATCGTGATCTAAACCTTACATGTGTATAATATTATTATTAGGTTATGTTGGAGCAAGTGAGCCGTTGGGCTCAATACTTGAATAAATTGATCTAAGTTAATTGAGAAGGGGACTTACAATACAAGCAATAAACCTTGAGGCTTGATCCTGAATCCAGATCATGTAAAGCGAAGGTGGAGTAACCTTAAATTCCGACTCTTTTTCCAACATACTACTAGTGACTAATCCATGTAATTCAAAAAAAAATACAAGAATATAACTATTTGATATTGCACCACCTGTGAGATATAAACTTGCAATGAAATCTTATTGTAATGCATCTCAAACTAATCAAATATTTTTATGTGTTTGAATTTTGAATATATATATATATATTTTGAACAAAATGATATTATCTGCACTAAAAGGGATGAAGTGAGTTTAGCCTCATAATGAGCTACCAATAATGAAGTTCAAATTCGCCTTTAGCGAGAGTCGAACTTAAAACTTCTCACTTACAAGTAAAGAGGAAAACCACTAAATCATAATACTAAGTGGCTAAACATATATAATTAGCTGTAAATAACGTCACAGTGAATTTTCTTTTCAAACTGGAGAGGTGTCTTTGTACCGTGTTAAAGAAATCTAAACCCATGGGCATATATGGGTTAAAATTACGTGTACATAATGGGTCGGGTGTACCTACGTATTAATCTTCTTCTTCTTTTCTGGTTTGTATGAGTCGATAACATACAAATACAGTGCCCCACATAAAACAGCTTCCGCTTGTCTTTTTGTAATTTTGAAACTCCCCTCATCAGTCATCAAGCACGCAGTCACCTTGGGTCTGAAGGGCTGATGGCCCCTCGGTTTTTCTGTTGGGAGAAAAAATGTATATGCTTGTGATTTTAGTGAGATGTATCATTAGTTTACTTCCATGTGACATTAATGTTAACTCTTCTATTACTATTGTCAACGTTGAAAAAGTATTTTTGTTCATGACATTTCTAAAAAATAAATTGAGAAATCAGATGGGAGTTCAATAGATGAATGATAACATGATTATTATTGTTAGGAGAGATATTTGATGATACTAGTAATGAAGGTGTTAAGTAAAACTATCAAAACATGAAAACGCATCGAACGATATTATATTTAAAAATGTTACCAATTAATGTATCAGTCATTTGTTTAGTAAATTCTTAAACTTGTTTATATTGTGACTTTGGTTTAAGATTCATTCCTCTATACAAATATCTAGCTTCGTCTCTACCCCTCATTAAAGTCTCTTTGTTCCTCCCATCCAATTTCGTGATCTATTTTTTTACGTTGTATAAGATTCTTTTCATTGGGGAGTCTCATTCCCTTTCCTTCTCTCACATTTTTCATTTTGTCTTTTTTTCTTTATAAAAAATTAATATAAAATATTAACTCAGCCTATTGTTTAAATATGATGTGAGAAAATGAGAGAAAAAAAAAAGAGGAGTGAGAATATTAATTAATTAATTTATTTTATTTTATAGAAGAATCTTATCACTTTCACTGGAAAGGAGAAAACGAAAAGATATTTTCTTTATGGTACCCACATCTTACTTTTCAGTATCTTCTTATCAAAATAATGTTCAATTTTCAATGCATCAATTAAGTATTAGATAAGGATGATGTCATACATAAATGTCCACAATGATTCAGTTAGGCCATTTCCAACCAAAAAATTCAGAGGACCAATGAGTCGAAAATAGTCTGAAAATCATCTCCAACTGAAGGTTAGGCTAGAGGGCTCGTGGAAGGCCCCACAGAATCTGAAAGGGTTGGCCATAAAAATGATTAATCTTTTTTTTAAAATTATATTTTTTTCTATAACTTCCTAAACCATTATACAATATTAAATTAAATTAAGTAACATGAAAGAACATTAAACAATATGAAACAACATTAAATAACATTAACCAACATACAAATTATACAACATAAAAAAAAAACATTTAACAACGTGAAACTTAAACAACATTTTTAAAAACATTTAACAACATAAAACTTAAACGCCTACTCTCCATGCTTCTTTTGGCCCAAAGATGTGCAACAAGATCCTGTTGTAGGTAATTGTTTGTGACACGAGAACATATCATTCTATAACACCTCATGTACTTAGTTATAGAGATATTACCAGTTCTTAGATTGAAAGGCAAATTAAGTCCATTATATATTTTTGCACGAGCCATTCTTGACCTATTTGGATCTTCTTTGTTGTTATCGGACTCTCCATCAATATACCCATCTTGCTCATCCTCCACTATCATATTGTGTAATATGATGCAAGACATCATGATGGAGTCCAAATTTTCTCGACTCCACCCTCTTGCAGGTTCGCTGATGATTTTCCACCGTGCTTGTAGAATACCGAAAGCTCTCTCAACATCTTTCCGATATGCCTCTTGGTGTAAGGTAAACAATTTTCCCGCGTCATTCCTAGGGTTTGGAATTGTTTGGACAAGTGTCGCCCCCTTTGGGTAGATGCCATCTGCCAAGTAATACCCCATATTGTATTGACGGTTGTTGATGTAGTAGTCAAGTTGAGGTGCTTTACCTTCTGTCAAGTTATTGAAGAGTGGTGAACGCCCAAGAACTGTAATGTCATTTTGGGATCCAGGGACTCCAAAGAAAGCATGTCAGATCCATGTGTCATATGAGGCAATCGCCTCTAACACAATAGTTGGCTTTCTTGACCTTCCGCTAAAGCCTCATTGCCATCCTGTGGGGTAGTTCTTCCAATCCCAATGCATGCAATCTAGTGACCTTATCATGCCCAGAAACCCACGGTATTCAGCTTTGCGAAGGAGCCGATTCAGATCTTCTTGATTTGGCTCGCGGAGGTACTCATCTTTGTAAACCTGAACAATTGTGTCACAGAATTGTTCAAGAGTATCAAGGCATGTAGACTCAAACATACCATGGGTTTTGTTTGTACCATACTTAACCAATCCCGAAACTACTGAGCACCGATCAACGTTATACCGTCAAGGACCCAGAAGAGTTTCCCTCCAACCAGGAGGCCAATCACAGCGCGACACGTGTCAACATTAGAAGCCAATCATAGCGTGACACGTGTTAACATTAAAAGCCAATCATAACACGACACATGTCAATGTCAGAATGAAACTAGAAACTCTCTTCTATAAATAGAGATCATTCTCTCACAATATTTCCTAATGTCATTTGTACTAAATCATTCACTTGTACTCACTAAAAGAGAGCTTGAACCTATGTACTTGTGTAAACCCTTCACAATTAATGAGAACTCCTCTACTCTGTGGACGTAGCCAATCTGGGTGAACCACGTACATCTTGTGTTTATTTCTCTATCTCTATCCATTTACATACTTATCCATACTGGTGACGGGAACAATCTAGCGAAGGTCACAAACTTAACACTTTTTGTTGTACCAAAGTCCTCACTGATTTTTGTGCATCAACATTTGGACCGTCTGTGGGAACGACACTTATTCCCACTCTCTTCAACTTTGTCAAGCTGGTTTCCACCGTTCGTACACTCTCTTTTAACCAGGCATCCCTCTCCAACATGGGGAGCGAAGGAAGCCACATCACATAGAATGACACCCATCTTGCACCTAGTGCGAAGTAACGAAAGAAGGAAGGAAAGAGGGTTGCTTTTCAAGCTAAAGTCAATGAGCTAGAAGCTCAAAACAACAAGATAGCAATGAAGAATGAGGTCCTCCAAGAGCAGTATGAGAAGCTCTTTGAGACGCTCCATGAAACTATGCGTACTCAAACACGCGAGCTTGTTGCCCCTGTGGACATTAACCATCATCTGGGTGCCTCTCAACACGGAGGGTCATTTTCCTTCGACATGGGTATCCCTGATGAGGAGCGAGCTAATCATCAAAACATTGATCAACATGAGACTTCTCTCAACCCAGCTGCTTCGACCCGAAGCAGGAAAAGTGGAGGAAGACACCTCCTTGCAGAAGGGTTGGAAGGATCGAAAGTTGTTTATTGTGACTGCCGAGATTTCCTAAAGTAACGTCGAGAGAATCCCCTCCACATATGCTCGAAGATCAATAACCCAAGGGTTTCTGAAAGACTCGGTCCCCTCCTACGACCCTGGCCAGCTGCCAATCTAGGGAAAGAACGACATGTCCTAGAGGAACATGAAGGTACATGGGACTCTGAGGTATTCCAATAGACTCGCCCTAGAAGTCAGTACGGCGAATCCAAGGAAAAATCACACACCCTTGCTCAAACTTTCCTACTTCCAAGAGGCGATGGAGACTTACGAAAGAAAATCCAGTGGTACATGACTCCACTCAAGACCCCCTTGTCCTACAGCTCCTTGAGGAAGTAAACAAGTTGAAGGCCGAACGTCAGGCCGAGATACCTGACTGGAACTAACTCAGGCCTGGCCT